ATTTTTTTCTATTTAATAATATTTATTTCAAACTTGCAAGTTGAGTTAAAAGTTATGGTAATAAATTCATTTTTTTTTTATTAAAACTTTCACTTTAAAGAACAAAAAGAAGTAGGTTCAAAATGATTACTTTTAACATATTAAAAATCAATAATAATTTGAAAATAATTAATTATAAAAATTATATAATATATAATTAAAATAATTACTAATCTGGATATAATTAAGGAAATAGGAGTTGATGTTGGGTTGGGTTGGTTACATTTTTAACTTTATAATGCTATAACTCATTGAAAAGTGTACGAATCAACACAATTTTTTTATGAGAAATAATATTTTTTAATAATCCCTTTTTCATTCGACATACTTTATCTTAATCAGGGTATTAATAAGAAACTAGCAGATAATGTAGCTTTTGTAATTATCCACCAATTTCTTAGAATTAAACACTATCTACTGATTTGCATCGAAGCGTTTCTTATGATAGTGATTTTAATCACTGTCAGATTAAATCTATACTGGACCCAACTATGCAACATCCCCACTATGCCGCGACCCCACTGTGCTGGGTTTTTTTTTTCTTTAAAGGTAGAAAGATTGGCTGGTTATTAGACAGTGTCTGTAGGTCATCACTCAAATTATGTTACAATGAAATAAAAATAAAAAATGAATTTTTTTACTCGCGTACCAAAAACTGAAGTGGGTTACAAGTAACTAGCTGAAGATTTTGAAAAATAATGGAACTTTCACAACTCTATAGGTAGTAGTGTGGATGGCAAACATATATTGATTGAAAAACTACCCAATTCTGGTTCTTATTACTACAACTACAAAAGTACATTCAGTATTGTTCTCATGGCTATCGTTAATGCGAATTATCAGTTTATCATAGTAGATGTTGAAGCGAATGGACGAATATGTGATGGTGGAGTTCTGAAGAACACGATATTTTGGCAAAAGTTGTCTCAAAACTAATTAAATATTCCTAATGCACGTGAATTACCTGGCTCAAATAAAAAGTTTCCTTACGTGTTTGTAGGTGATGAAGCTTTTCAACTACTGCCAAATTTTATGAAACCTTACAACAGAGCAGTACTCACGGATGATAAACGGATTTTTAATTATAGATTATTCTGAACACGCAGGATTTTTGAAAATGCGTTTGGAATTTTAACATCGAAGTTCAAAATATTCCAAAAAAATATTAAATTTGCACCACACAAAGCTCGAAAAATATTGATGGCTTGCTGTCATTTACACAACTACGTGCCAACAAGAAATATTGGATATTATTTGCAAGTGGTGATGTTGATTACGAAAACAAAGATACTGGTAGAGTAGAAGAAGGTTCATAGAGACAAGAAACTCAGCATACGGCAGAACTTCGAAGAACTAGAGGAAATTCAACAGTTGAATCAAAGAAAATAAGAGATGATTTTTGCAAATATTTCAACTCTTTTAGCTCAGTTTCGTGGCAAAACAATTATTTGATTTAGAGCCATATACGAGCCAACTTTGTATTATTTGTTAAATTGTATTTAAGTGTGAAAGCCATGATATAAACATTATAAATTAACATTTAACATTTTAACTATTTAATAATAATAATATAAATATCAAACTAATAAATTTCTATTTCGAAATACAATATTGTAAACAATAATGGAAAAACACTCAATAATCCAACTGTGTCATGTCATAAATAAAACTTATCGCAGTAAAACAACGACAGCCTATCGAAATCGAATGTGTCACGTCGTAGATTGTTTATCGTACCAGTCTTACTAGAAAAATATAGTTTAAAAAAACTAAAAAAACACGCTTTTAAAGCACATCGAACTAAAAAGTTAAAAATAATTTTTAAAATAATTATGAACAAAAAATACTAGTATTATTGTGATAAAAGCATCGGGCGCTCAATATACGAAAAATATGGCACAAAGCACCCACGCTTTTATCACAATAATACTAGTATTTTTTGTTCATAATTATTTTAAAAATTATTTTTAACTTTTTAGTTCGATGTGCTTTAAAAGCGTGTTTTTTTAGTTTTTTNAAAAATTATTTTTAACTTTTTAGTTCAATGTGCTTTAAAAGCGTGTTTTTTGAGTTTTTTTAAACTATATTTATTTTTCACTTTTTAGTTTTATATTATGATAGTAGTTACTATTAATATCATGGTTGTAACGGGTAACGGGAAATCAGGGTTCGATTCCGGGAAGGGTGTCTGAGAAACGGCTACCACATCCAAGGAAAGCAGCAGGCGCGTAAATTACCCACTCACGGAACATGGAGGTAGTGACGAAAAATGACGATACTGGATTCATTCTTTGTAATCGGAATGAATGAGTTCTATATTTTTAAATAAGAATAAAGTGTTTTAATATATATTTTTAATAGTTATTGGAATATATATATACATGTAAAACAACTTAAGTACGTAAACGTGGGCGGGCGGGTAGGACTAACGTTAAACCTGAGGTATAAACGGCGGTAGGAATATATACGTAAGCCGTATGCACGCGGATGATAACAATGATAACGCATCATAACTCATAATATTCAAACATTGTCTTTAATTGAGAAATATTATACCAAAAAAAAAAAAATTCCATTATTTTCTTCTTAATATATCTATTTTAATTTAGGTGACGGTAACTGGTATAGAGGAGTTTGTACTGGTGTTGAAAATACCGTGGATGGAAGTCAATTTTATAATATTAATTTAATCGATTGGGGAGAAACGGTTTCTGTAATATCAGCTGAACTGCGTAGATTGGAAACGTTTTATATGAAACACGCGCCTTTGGCAGTTAAATGCATTATATCTCGCTCTATATACTATTTTCGTCTCGCTCTATATACTATATTTTTCGCTCTATATACTATTTTCGTTTTTCGCTCTATATACTATTTTCGTAAGCCCCTCAAATAAGGTCGACCTGGAAGAGATATTACGTTTTTTCCGTATTAAAATTCCGATATTTCACCGATCGCCTCCGTTTTTGTACCGTTCGACGACGCTTATCGTTACGCGTCTTTTCCTCTCTTCATTCGAATTTTTCGCCGTACCCGTTTTCTTAAATTCGCGATTTTCCGAATTTCGTGGAACGGAAAACGACGCGAAATAGGGGAGCGCGCCTCCCGCTCGGCCCGACGCGTTCCCGCCTTTTCGTCGTTATCACCGCGTCGTATTGTGCGTCGTCGACCGTTTCTACGTGGTTTATTTCTCATTATTTCGTTATTATTATTAGTAGTACTGACTGTATTAATGTTAATTAATGTGATTTCGTAAATTTTCTACTACTACGGCCATTATATATTAATCGAAACTCGCGATTGGTAATTTGACGGCGATTACCATCAATGTAGTTTATTAATTGTCGATATTGTGATGGTCTTATTTGATTTGATTTTGTAATTTTTAGATGGCGTTTGTCGTGTGCCCGGAAGACTGCTTCGATAATGGTTCGACCCGTTGGCCGAGAGTGCTGGCTCAATCAATAGTGCTGTTAACAATCTACAACGGATTTATTAAACGGGTAACGCATTTCTGTTCGTTAAAAAAAAACGAAAAAAAAACCTGTGCGCTGACGTTTTTACAACGATTGTAATCGATATAATTTCAAAATCGTTGTAATGGCAGTATTAATTTATTTGATTTTACAACTTTTAGACGGCGCTTGTTGCGTCCTGACGTAGTATGCTTCGATAACGGCTCGGCCTGTTGGCCAAAAGTGCTGGTTCTAATGGATAACGGATTTATTACGCGGGTAATTCATTTTTATTATTTGTTCAATAATATTAGTCGGTCAGTAATTAATGTAGTTTGTTTTTTTAATGGTGGTAATGGCATCGATAAATTAATTTTCATTTTGTAATTTTTAGACTCGCATCTGTTGTGCCCGTAAGAATACGCTGGAAATCGCTGTTGGTTTAGGATCTATTATTACAAGGGTAATTTATTTTATTTCATTAAACGATAATTTATTGTAACCATTTTATTTTTCTCAAAGTCGAGTTCATCCTTTACGTTTAAATTAATTTCGTTTAGCGTATGTTAATCATTAGGTCAATTTGTATTTTGTTTATAGTTGCTATATTCATGTACTACATTAGTCAATACATTCTCTCTCTGTCTCTCTCTATAAATATATACATATATATTTTAATTTTTTTTGCATATACTATATTTATATCTTTGATTCCCTTTGCGATTGTTTTTTTTATTGAAATGTACTATTGACGATTTCGCAGAAATCGTCGTATAATAAAATTGTAGATACTAGAAGATATTAGTAAAACAGTATATAGATGTAGATATTTATGGTAATGGCAGTTTTAATTAATTTGATTTTGTAATTTTCAGATCTGTTGTGCCGGTACAAATACGCTGGACACTGCTTGCTGTTGTCACTATTGGATTTATAATAACAAGGGTAATTTATTTGTCAAAAAAAAAATTTATTATTATTTACTTTTCTCAAAGTCGAGTTCGTCCTTTTGCATTTTAATCAATTTATTTAGCATATGTTAATCATTAGGTTGATTTGTATTTCATTTATTGGTGTGCAATATGTAGTAATATGCAACATACAAATATGTACTTTTTTTTTTTTTAATTAATTTTTTGTTTGCAAATACTACATTTATAATTGTGATTTCCTTTATGATTAAAGATGAACTCTATCTTAAAATAGAGTTCATCTTTATACGTTTTAATTGATTTACTTTGCATAAATTCAATCATTAGGTTGATTTGTATTTCATTTATTGGTGCAATTTGTGCTACATCAGTCTATATAATATCTTACTCTATATCTCCCTCTCTTTCTCTGTATATATACATTTTTTTTTTAAATTTTTTGTTTGCAAGTACTACATTTATATTTGTGATTCTCTTTTTGATTTTTTTCTTATTGTAATGTGTTATTGACAATTTCATAACAATTGCAATAATAATATTGTAGATATATTATTATTATTATATTATGGTGATGGCAGTTTTCATCAAATTGATTTTGTAATTTTTAGACGGTATCTGTTGTGCCACGACAACTAAGCTAGAGATTGATGATGGCAGTCATCGCTATTGGATTTATTGCTAAGGTAATTCGTTTTCATTTGTTAAAAAAAATTTATTGCTATTGACTTTTTTTAAAATGGACTTCATCATTATACATTTTAATCATTAGTTTGATTTGTATTTCATTTATTGGTGCAATATGTACTACATCAGTGTATACTTAATTCGTTTTCATTTGTTAAACAAAAATTTATTTCTATTGACTTTTCTTAAAATACAGTTCCTCCTTTTGCATTTTAATCCATTTCTTTAGCATATGTTAATCATTATGTGGATTTGTATTTTGTTAATTGGTGAAGAAATATGTTCTTCATCAGTCTATATATTCTCTCTCTTTCTCTCTCTCTATATATATATATATATTTATTGCACGGGCAATTCTTTTGTTAAAAAATGAATATTTATTTTTTATATATTATATATTTAATTTAATATATTATATTATATTATATATTATGGTTAATTTTTAGAATGAGTTGGTCNTATATTATGGTTAATTTTTAGAATGAGTTGGTCGTATCCTGAGGAATGCTTCAATAATGACTCTGCCCGTAGGCCAATCGGTTCTAATGGATAACGGATTTATTACAAGGGTAATTTGTTTTAATTTCTTTAAAAAAATTTATTTATTACTGACTTTTCTTAAAGTAAAGTTTATCTTTCTATATTGTAATTATTAAATTGTGGTAATAACGATATCGTTTTTAAATTATCGATATAATCATGATAATGGCAGTATAAATTAATTTGATTTTGTAATTTTTTCAAAAATAATCTTTGTTATTCACATTTCTTAATTTAGAGTTCATCTTTGTACGTTTTAATCGATATATACTTTGCATATTTTAATCATCAGGTCGATTTGTATTTCATTTATCGGTGCGATATGTACTACTACATCAGTCTATACGATCTCTCTCTCTCTCTCTCTCTCTATATATATATATATACTTTTTTTTTGCATGTACTACATTTATATTTGCGATCACCATTATGGTTATATCTTATTGAAATGTTTTATTAACAATTTCACAGCCATTGTAATAATAATATATTGTAGATATAATATATTATTATATATTACGGTGATGGCAGTTTTAATTAATTTGATTTTGTAATTTTCAGATGATAACTGTTGTGCTCGGATGACCGCGCTGGAGATTGTTGATAGTTTTAGATTTAACGCGCGGGTAATTCTTTTGTCAACAAAAAAATTTATTTTTTATATAATATATTTAATTCGNTTTATTTTTTATATTATATATTTAATTCAGTTTAATTTATAACATATGTTATATTATATTATATATTATCGTAAAGGCAGTATTAATTGATTTGATTTTGTAATCTTTAGAAGGAGTATATTGTATCCTGAGAAATGCTTCAATTATGGCTCGGCCTGTAGGCCAATCGGTTCTAATGGATAACAGATTTATTACAAAGGTAATTCATTTTCATTTGTTAAAAAAAATTTATTGCTATTGACTTTTCTTAAAATACAGTTCCTCCTTTTGCATTTTAATCAATTTATTATGCATGTGTTAATCATTAGGTCGATTCGTATTTCATTTATCGGTGCGATATGTACTACTACATCAGTCTATACAATCTATATATTTATATAAATACATTTTTTATTACTATTATTTTTTCACAGCAATTACAATAAAAATATTGTAGATTATATAATATATTATGGTAATGGCTGTATTAAATTTTAATTTGTTTTTGTAATTTTTAGACTGTGCTACCCCATTGTGGTTCCAGGATAACGACTGAGCTAGAGATTCATGGCAGTCATCGTTATTGGATTTATTGCACCGGTAATTCATTTTCATTTGTTAAAAGAAATTTAGTTCTATTGACTTTTTTTAAAATAGAGTTCATCTTTTTACATTATAATCAATTCATTTAGCATATGTTAATCATTAGGTCGATTTGTATTTCATTCATTGGTGCGATTCGTGCTACATCGGTCTATATAATCTCTTCCTCCATATATATATCTCTCTCTCTCTCCATATGTATATATATACATTTTTTTTTTAAATTTTTGTTTGCGAGTACTACATTTATATATTTGTCATACTCTTTTTGATTTTTTTTCTTATTCTAACGTGTTATTGACAATTTCATAACAATT